GATGGAGCAGTGGGCGTAAACACTACGGACTGGAAGTTGTATTCCACTTGATTTTGGCTGATGTGCGCCAACCATTTGTTCCTTTTTAAAAAAAATTAAGAATCGATACTTGGCGTCAAGAATCGATACAGTAGTTCACAAAAATTAGAATCGCGATGCATCATCATGACGATTTTTTGCACTCCCTTAGTTCCTACTGGTGAACCTAATATAATAGTTTATTATTGTATTTACATAATTAAAGTTGAATGTGATGTAAATTCAGATTTTGGGAATAATTGTTCTTTTCCAGCAGAAATCCATCAGTATTAGTCTTAAAAGCTTCTTCTTTGTTCTTCTTTAGTCTTTTTATTTTTGGGAACAAGACTTTTGAGCAAATTGTTAAAGCTTTATTGTAATTGTATTTTATATTATTTTTAATAACCAATGCCTTTATGCAATCTTTCCGTTGTGTCGTATCTTTTCATTTGATGTGATTTTTATTTATTTTTTTATTTCCATTGCAGAGCTGGAGTGGAGGTTATCAGAATCCGGGGCAGTGAAGACCGACCTGGAAGAAAACCCCAGGAAAAACATCGAAGACAAGTTAATGTCGTCGATCAGGAGTTCGCTTCCCACGCGGAAGGACAGCGACTCTGAGGATGAGGACTATTAGAGGACAAGATCTTTTCATGGAGGAAACAGTCAAAACATGAAAGAACTGAGCTGGGGCAGCGCATCACCCTCATATATCATCCAGTTCTTATGTCTGCAGAGCTTAGTCCTGCTCAAAGGCACATTGGCAGGCCACTGGAGAGATTTAACCCAAGGTTAAAACAGTTTAAGAAGGAAAAATGGAATAACAGCTTTTTTATTTTATTTCAAACTTTGATTCAATTTAAGCAATAGCCTTACAGAACCGTAAAGGTTGATCTTTTTTTATTACATTATAAATATGTCACAAAATGTACATAAACATTTTATATTCCTTTAATTCAATGCAGGTTCAATCCCTCTACCACTTTAGTCGGTTGCCAAAATTCTCTTTTTGAAATAAAAAGTCACTGCTGATCATGAGATTTTCAAAGTGTTTATATCTTATTTCAGAGACCAACTCGGTGAAATTCAGTCGTCAACGGTTGGAAGCATCGAGACACTTAACCTGTCGTCGCGGCCCAGTTTTTTTTGTTTTTGTTTTAATCTTTACAAGTTATTATTTCCTGTTTAAGAAAAAAAAAAAGGTTTCCTTCTGGAGCCCGAAATGCAGCCTGTCGCTCAAATGGTAGACGCTTCATCCAAGCCGGAGCTGCAAGCTGCTCCTCCTCCCCAACGTGTGTGACTTCCTCAGTTTCACAGATGCTCCTTCTATAACGTCCCCTCTGGCAGGTCTCGGATTTTCTGTTTAATTAGCAGGAGGTAATGAGAGGCAGAGAAATGTCAGTCAATGAAAATGAACAGTGATGAAGTTAAGGTGATTTATTTGGGCTCCATCCTAATCACTTCCTCGCTACTTCTTCTCTGCCTGAAAGGTTAAGTCTTTAAAGGCAGAGGAGAAATGATGGCATGGGTCTTGTTTTCTCTTCATCTGTCCTGACTTCAACCTACACCGGGCTAAAAATTGATAAACTAAGGGAGAAAAAAAAAACATTCTGGCTTTTAGTTTCTGCTCTTACTTTAAGGTCCATCTCAGAGTTTATACAGCAAAAAAAGAATAAAAAATAAAAAAGGATAATTTTAAGCTCCATCTAACCGATCCTCTGACATGTGCTGCTGATATTTTTGGGCCCATTCTTAGAGCCGATGTTGCTTTCTCTTCTTCCATTTACATGATAAAAAAAATATAATTACAACAAATGTTACACAAGTCTCAATTTAAATAATTTTTTTAATGCATCAAACTAAACATTTATGGATAGCTAATGGTGGAAGCAGCAACGCATACGCTTCGTGTGATCTCAGGAAATGGCTGCAGAAAGTGCTACTGAAGCAGCCAACGCATGCACGTGTCGGCCAATACGAGACGGGAAACAAAAAACGCTATCGTCGACCGGCTTTGGTCAATCTCTATAGATTAATACTTTATTTTAGAAGTGAGGGGAAAAGGACTGAGTTGTTGATTCAATCTAAACTTGACTGTTTCATACTCTTCTATTTTCCTACACTGCAAAAGCGATCTAAACATAAGAAAAAGAGTTTTGACTCATAATTTAAGTTGGTAAATAAGATGATCTGCCAATGTAATTAGTATTTTTACCTTAAACTTTTTTTTTAATTGTCATTACAGTTTTACAAGTACAGAGCAATGAAATAATCTCAGCATTTAACCCATCCCCTTGGGGAGCAGTGGGCTGCCATTGTGCGGCGCCCAGGAAGCAGTGTGGGGTTAAGGGTCTTTGCTCAGAGACCCAGAGTGTCAGTCGTTGGAAGTGGGGCTTGAACTCTGGATTTGGATTCCAAGCATAAAGCCTTAACCACTAGGCAACCACTCCCCACTACATAAAATAAGATATTATGCACCTGAAATAAGAGACGGCTTTTATTTCTCATTTTAAATGTAAATTGTCTTATTCTATTGGAAAAATGTTTATCTGATCTGCACAATTCAAGAAAAAAATGCTCTTATTTTAAGGAAACTGGACTTGGATTTAAATTTTTTTGCAGCGTGATAAAGTCTTAATTTTTGTCGCATGTGAAAACCTTTCCAAAATGATTCAACTTATCCCTTAAAAAGAATAGGAACAAAATCCTTTTATGGTTAAAACTACTTGGAAATAAAGAACTGTGGACCTAGCTGTGAGGGGACACTGGCCAACTTTATTATAGTAATAATAATTGACCTTTATTGATCTCACATTGGCGAAATTTACCTCTGCATTTAACCCATCCCCTTGGGGAGCAGTGGGCGGCCATTGTGCGGCGCCTGGGGAGCAATCGGGGGGTTAAGGGTCTTAAACTCGTTTTATCTGAATTGACTCCTTAAAATACAACCAATCACTCTAACTAGAACCAGAAGAAGATAATCCCTTTTTTCCTACATGACAAGCTCTACAATTTAAAAAAACTAAAAACACCTTTAACAGAAGAACCTCAAATATACACTCTGTTGAATCATAGCCACTAAAACAGACGGCGGCAAACAAAACTAGTCAATGTGCGAAAGCTTCTCTCACCAGAAGTAACACCTTCTTCTTTCTCCTCTGGGATAGTTTAGGTGGAAGTCGCATCAAAGGGTGAACTGAATGGGACTGAAACAGAGATAAAGATTCAATTAGTCATGCGGTGCGGCAAAATGAGGCGATAATCAAAAATGAGGTAGAAAAACCGCCGTTCCCTGCAGAGTAGGAGTGCGTACTAAATAATTGCTCTTCCATCCATGGTCGTTATTTTCAACAGAAACGGTGATACATACAGTCGCTGTGCTTAGATTCTCTTTTTTTTTTCACTGATGTTTGCAGTGAAAATCCTGATAACCTTACTATAAAATACCCCCTGACACACTTTAACTCGTCTATTCCAAAGATTTAAGACCTAATCCCCCTGCATCACCTGTTTACTCATCCGATACTGTAATAGTCGTCATGTGTTCTGCAGCTTACCGTAATTGTATAGACTTTTAGGGTTTGAAAAACTCCTGTATCATCAGTATGTCAGATGTTGTATTTGCTCTAAACATACAGAATTGTTATGGAACCAATGAATAGGTAAAAATTAGTGTTGCACCGATGCCATGTTTTGACCCCAATAACGACACTAGATACCGGGCTGGTCAGTATCGGCCGATACCATCTGTTTGAAATTGATGTCTGTGTGTATATGAAGAACTGCGTACTACTTGGATGTAAAATAATTGCCATCAGGGCTTTGTCAAGCTGCTGAACTGGAAAAAAATCTAAATCTAGATAAGTCAGTTTTTTTTTAAATAGGTGCATTTGTTCTTGGATTGAGGAGATTAAAAAATAAATTTTCCCAGTGGAACAAGACAATTTACATTTAAAATAAGAAAACTCAATTGCATTGTCTTATTAGAAGTGCATATTATCTAATTATCTTATTTTAAGAGTAAAAATTCTCATTCCATTGGCAAACTATGTCATTACCCACTTAAATTAAGGGTAAATATGCTTTATTTAAGAAATTTAAACTTATTTCTAGATCGTTTTTCCACTCTGCCTACCTTTGTGAAGCAGGAAAAAGACTAATTAAAAGTGAATCCAGCAGAACTTTTATTGCCTAATTGGACTTGGAAGTGACTAAACTTTTGACTCTCAAAATGGTATTGGTGCCCTATTTGTTGGTACTGACCGATACAACCATTTAAGTGCTCAATTGGGACACGCCGGATACTGGTATAGGTGCAAAACTAGTAAAATCCGAAGAGACAATTTCATCTCAGCTAAATGAAATGGAAACAGTTTTCCAATTAATTAAGTTATTTGTTATTTGACGAAACTCCATAAAGCTTTTACCTTTTAAGCCTGAGACGATCGGACCATTAATATGAAAGTAAAGGGATCAAAAACTCACAATAAATAATCTATTAGGTCCAGAAGCAGCAGCACACAGTTAATTTTACACACCCTTCATTCTAAGAACATATGCTCATCATGAATACTGTACATACAGCAGCTTATGTGCATGGCCGGCTCTAGGCAGGGGCCAAATATTTTCCTGTTAAATTGGTCCCTGATATGTGCAGGCAATGAATCCATAGCTAATTAACCCAATAGAATAATTTCCTTTGTTACATTTGTGGATTTTCTTTAAAAATGATTTAAAACTTAAGGTGCTTCACTTTTAGCTTCAGCTACACTGAGATAGGATCACAGCTTTCATCTTCTAGATCTGGGGTCTGCAACCTGCAGCTTCAGAGTCATAATTGGCTCTTTTACTCACTGAATCTTTTAACTATTGCGCTGTTATTGCTTTTTCATTGTTTTATCGTGTGCATTCATGAAAAAAAAAAAAAAGCACCTTTCCACACCCTGGTAAATTAGGTGCAGAACAGCCACTGCTTAGATGTGTGATTTGGCTTTACAAACTGCTTCTCTTTCACATTTCCATCCATGCAAAGTGCTAACATACTGATATACAAGGTCAGATTAATTTATGGTAAAGAGAAGTAGCTTGTTTTTGCTCACCTCCTGTTGAACGGCTCCAACAGAGTTCCGCGCTTTGGAGTAATGGAACAGGAACTGTGGAGGGGAGAAAAAAAAAAGGCAAATAAACTTAATCTATGAACTGTTGGAATGATCAATCAAACAAAACAAAAATGAATATTGGAAAGAAAACCTTACTCTTTTGAAAATATTCTGGACTTGCTCCTGTGGAGGAAAATAAATACAAATACGGATTAATACCAAAAGCATAAAATTGAAAAAAAAAAAAGAAAAAAGTTTTAATTATATATAAAATAAAAATTTTAAATTGAATTTGTTGTATTTTTTGATACTTGCTGTAATTTTTCTACACCTGTTTGTATCTGAACTCATCTTTGATCATGGGAAGATGAACAGGTCATCATGAACTGATCCAGGTAATGGCAGAACTTTTAGTTTTTGGGACCAAAGTATTAAAACAAGCACAGAGCTCACTGTTAAAAATAAAGGTCTAACATCCTTAGCTGGTTAAATACATAAAATGCAAAACAAAATAAACCCAAACAGTCAGGACACTGGTAAAGCAGAGCATCTAGAGTTACTAATCCCTGGTGACAAACTCTCATCCTCCACAGTTTCTACCTCCAAAATGTTAGATTACTCTCTATAGTCATCCATATTAATACAATTTCTATTAATTATCACTTCTGTTTATTTTTTTTTCCTGGGAAAAATAAAAACTCCACACGTTGAGCAACTGCTTATTTTTATTGACACGCTTTATGAGTTGGTTCAGTCTAATTCATCCCCTGTGGTGCAGTCTATGGTCGAAAAAGGAGTGGCTTCAATTCCAAATGCGATCGCTTGAGTTAGATTGTATGAAGACGTGGAGGGAAATGAATTCATTTTTAAAAAATGTAAATCAGAAAACAGCCTTCAAAAACGTAAAGCTGTACTGTAAGGATGGATGGGGTTAGGAGTCACCAGACTTTCAGACACATGCAGTCGTCATACAGCATTTGTCTGTTGCAATCACATTTTCTTAATGTTTTAGAAGTACCACACACTGGCGATGTTAATAAAAAACTGGCTGTTAAGTCTTCAGTCGTAGTGAGTCAGAAAGTGTCAAGAAAAAAAGATTTCTCCTGGGATCGACAGTAAGTCTAGATTCTATTCAAAAAAACATAAAAACATTTAACTCTTCTAAGCTGTTGCAGTACCAAACCTACTTTAAAAACTAAACTAAATCTAAAAATAAATAATTATATTTACCCTTAAATTGAGTAGATAAATAAGATGATCTGCCCATGGAATCAATATTTTTACTCTTAAAATAAGATAATTAGATATTATACACTTGGAATAATACAAGGCAGTTATTTTTCCTTATTTTAAATATAAATGTTCTTATTCCAATTAATTTAATGAAAAAACTGCACCTATTTTAAGAAAAAATGACTTACTTAGATATCATGTTTACATTGAAAAAAAAAAAATCTAGAAATAAGTAAACATTTCTTGAATATAGTATATTTACCCTTAATTTGAGTAGGTAAATAAGATGATTTGCCAATGGAATTAGTATTTTTACTCTTAAAATAAGATATTTAGATAAAATGTACTTGAAATAAGAGAATGCAATTGTTTCTTAATTTAAATGTCAATTGTCCTGTTCCATTGACAAAATGTCTCTTTTATCTCCTCAATTCAAGGACAAATGTTTAAGAAAAAAGGACTTATCTAGATTTAGATTTTTTCCAGTGTACAGTGCATTGTATACCAAGGTGACCATAGTCTTAGATTTTAATAAGAATTATTTAAAAACCAGAGGTGGTTGAAACTGGAGTTCTCTGCCCAGGCTGCCATATACTCAGGGTTTGGTTAAAATCACATTTCTTCACCGATATTTCTGGTCATGAGGTGAAGGTTATATCTAGTCTCTGGTCTTTTCTCATTCTTGTGAACTTAATCACCCAGGCTAATATCAAAGCTAAAACAGCCACATTCTCTAGCAATGGTTCAAGACTTTGGTTTACCTGAATGTTATGTAAAATCGATCATTAATCAAATGAAAATCTCATTACCTAACTACGCAAACAGAAAAAGTGGAAGAGAGAACACATATAAACACACACAAGGAGAGGGTTAGTGTAGGCAGATGATTATTTTCTGCATCTAATTAGGTGAATTAATCATGATCGTGATTAATTAAAGATTGAATGGTGAAAGATGCTGTTGTTTGGGATCAAACATAAGGTTCTCTGAGTTTACTGAACAATTTCATCATGAGCACGCAGCTCCCGCATTATCTCTGACAGGAAAACGGATCATCTCCCTTTCGGGAACTGAGGCCGAGGGGAAATGTGGAACTTTATCTTTTCTTTTCCCATTTAATATTTAATGTGATCATGAGTGTCCGATCGCTCAGGGATGTTTAAAGCAGATGGGATGTGAGCCTACCTCATTCTGGTCTTTCCACAGCACGTTACTCAGATCATCGCTTTGGATGCCTCGCACCTACAAATAAAAAAACACTACATTAAGAACAGACAAAAAATACAACATAGTATTTAAGTACCTAAAAATGAACTGGGTAGTCCTTCGAATTGAAATGGAACAAAATCCATACGCTTAATTACCGCTTAGCATCCCTTCTGCTTTATTCCCATTTACACAACTGCAGCTATTGGTTGAATGATCTATTGGATCTAATTTTCCTTTTAATCGGTGAAAATTAAACGAGATTGTCTATTGAATAAGATGGATCGCCAGGTCTCTCCCTTATGCAATAAATGTGGAAGATAGGTTGGAACGTTTTACCATTATTTCTGGCAATGCAGACTGATCCAACAATTCTGGTGCAATTTCTAAAGAGCTGAGTGATGCGTTTCATGTAAAAATCAGCTGAGACCAGGTCTGTTTGTTCTTGGCCTCCCTTCAGTCAGTCACTCTGACCCAATCAAACTTCAAATTTTGTGACAAATTATTGCTTTTGGCTAGAAAATGCATTCTAATTAATTGGATTAAGGATGAACCACCAACAACCACCAACTAGGGTCCTCCCTTATTAAAGGGTTAGTGCAGTTCTTAATGGTAATGAGAATATTTCATTATTATGTGGTCTCCTGTGCTTAATTATTTCCTTATAGAGCTGACACAACTTGTAAGGTCTCACCAGATCTTAACTAATGAACATCCTCCTTTTGAATTACTATGCATCTTTTTTTCTTTCTTTGATCACCCGGCTAGATGTTATGTTAATGTCAGACTTTAAATACGTCCTTTAATGTTTGCCACTGAAGACATGATTTAACGTGAATGTGATACTACACTTCCCTTTATTTGTTAAAATAAAAAAAAATTGTTGTTTGTTCCTGCTCCGTATCCCATACTTATGTAAGATAATAGGCAACACAGAATAGAATTTTCTTTCTTTCTTTCTTTTTTTTTTTTTCCTGTTTGTGTAAACACAAAACTGATAAAATGTTTAAAATATAGAAACAAGATTTCCAGGTCAGAGTCTCCTTCCGAGCCATTTTTCTAGAAAAAAAACACTGAAATCTATGGAGGACGAACGTGAATCCCCTTAAAAGATGCAGAAGTCAGACGTCTCAGTCATGTGAATGAAAAAAAATTATTTCCCTACCTTTCGCAATGCAGTGTCGTCTCTCCAACGTCCAAAAAAACTGGCATCTGGACATAGAAGATATATGAACGTTTTTATCTTCATCATTCATCCCATAGTAAACTCATGTTTATGTGTATTTTATTGGTGAATTAAATACATTTTTAAAATAGTTGACACAGTCTCATATCCAAACAGAGACGGGGTAATTATTCATTTTATAAAGTAGCTTCAATTTCAACGTGCTTTATAATCCAGAAGATTTTAGGATAATTTTGACCAGAGTCACTAATAACTAATGAACAGCATCTTAAAATTGATTTCCCTCTGAGCCCCAGTGGTTAAATTGTTCAGTCACACAATAACACCAATGTCTTCCTGCCTTAATTCATTTTAATCTGATCTCTGGCTGCTGACTGTTACTAGAGGAGAGCGCAGCCCCACCAACTATTAAGGGACCCGATTAGTTAAAATCTGCAGTAGATTGGGAATATATCAGTGTTAAAACATGCTATGAATGGTATTATTTCAGCTAAAAAGCAGATACACCATTTTAAAACTAAAGTAATATTTATACCTATTTTTTTACTCTTATTACATCATAAACCTATTTTTCTGTTTTCGTCTTTACTGTTTTTGAAACATAGAGTAACCTCTGAGCTTATAGTTTATAACAGCTCCTGATTATAGTTTGCAGCTGAATTCAAGGTCTTGCCCCCATAGATCATGTCTAATACAAAGCCCTGAAGGAGTAATCCCAAGGAATAAATAAGGTTGAGTCTAAGTCTAAGCATTTATTACAACTAATGTGTTTTTTCTCCCCAGTAGTATACGCACACTAGATGAGGCTCATTTGTTAGAACAAAACAAAATTTTGAAAAAAAGGCTACCTTAAAGCAGGCATTCGCATACCTTTCATCTAGCCCACATTTTTTCCCTATTTTTGCATTGGTCTGATAACATTGTGTTGTTTACTGAATTTCCCTTTTAAGATGAATAAAGTATTGTTGATTTGAATTGAATTTCAAAAGTCTTTTACTAGAAAAATAATCAGCCATAGCAGAAAGTAGGGCTTGAATTAATATAATCAATCTAGATGTATTTTGTTATGATTTGAAAAGAAACCCATTGAAATATATATTAGATTTTTATTATTAATGAAGTTGTTTGAATTTTACTTTTTAAAACATAATTTGATGCGTGGGGATGGGGGACAAGGGATAGTTTGAACATGCAGAAATTTTCATTTATTTATTTTGCGTTAATATTAATTATTTTCCTCTGTAAACATTTTTTCTTTCACTGGGGATGTTTCGGTATGTGGAAGAAATGTCTATCTATCTATCTATCTATCTATNCTGATAATACGACTCACATACCACAGGCTCAAATCTGTTAACTCTTTAAGTGTCTGAGTGGCCTCTGTAACCTTTATGTAATGTTGGGTACATATATATATATATATATATATTACTCTCTCTATATATCTATATGTGTGTATATATATATTTATTTATATAAATATAGAGATTAAATATATACATATATATATATATATATATATATATATATATATATATATATATATATATATATATATATATATATATATATATAATGCTTCCTCAGCTGCCAAAATATTATTATAAAACAATGGAGATGCAATCAGAATCCATGGCATTGAGGCAAGGATTTTTCCACTCATTAATAGTTATTTAGCTGAAAATGAGCAGCTTATTGTCAATGTTAGGAAGCCTTTGTCCCAGCTGGTAGTATGGGGACAGGTAGATGTTTATAAAGTTATTTACAAAGTAATCATTAAGAAAAATGTCCATTTACATGTAATAAACTCCTCATCTCGTTTATCTTACCTGTTGCGCTCAAACATCCCAAAATCCCCAACAAACACAGCAGGAAAAGTTGCCTCATAGTCATCTCTCCTCGCTCCTCTCTTTGTTTCTGATTCTCTGGTCCGACTCGGTTGGGTTCGGTTCTGATCGCATCCTGCTCCCCTGCTGCAATTTAAACTCTTTGCAAGCTGTAGAGTAACCTCGCCTTCGACCAATCACAGCCCGATCCGATCATCAGCCGCGTGCGCAACTCCCCACGCGCACATCACCAGTCCGCACAGGCTGATGATCACTGGGATTGCAGGGATGATGGAGGCTGCTTACGTCACGACATGGATGTGGTTGTTGTGTCCCATGGTGGGAGGGGGGGATTCAGGCGACGCAATAATCCAAATAAGTCATCAAAGTTGGTCTGAAATAACAAAACTGCTCCTTCCCTTTCTCTGATGGTTGTTATGTTTTACAAAATTCCAGGGCTTGTTTGATGGTAGTTCAAAAAATAAAATTGAAAACAAGCCACTGGACTTTGTTTCCAAGTTTGAGGACATTTCGCTTCCCATCCAGCAATAGCGTTGAGTTCAAGGTTTTATACAGTATTGGTGGATTGTTTTAAATTTCCTTTTTTGAATGACTATGACCTGGATGACCAAGAACCTTCACCAGCATATTTGATGGTAGCAAAGGATGTAACTTTCTGATTAAAGTTGGTGGGGACACTCCTAGGCTGGGGACTGATGGACCTACAGTCGACAAATGCCTTCAATAGGGTTTGTATTTTCCAAAAAATTTGCTCAAACATATATATATATATAACTTTAAAGAATATATATTAATTCATTTGTATTTCATTGAGGGAAATAAGTATTTGATCCCTCTAGCCAAACACAGTCAATACTTAGTGGCAAAGCCTTTGTTAGCAAGTACAGCAGTGAGACGTTTGTTGTAGTTAACCACAAGTTTAGCACACACACCAGGGGGAATTTTGGCCCACTCTTCTTTGCAGATCCTCTCTAAATCAGGAAGGTTGGTGGGCTGTCGCTTGGCAACTCTGACCTTCAGCTCCCTCCATAGATTCTCAATCGGATTGAGGTCTGGAGACAGGCTGGGCCACTC